GTGTCTTCGGGTATGTGTGTGTGTGTGTGTGCGTGAGTGTTGTACGGGCATGCATACATGCATGGCGTGAAACGAGCACGCGCATGTACGCATGAATTCATGTATGCATTTACACACTGCACCGCTATGCGACGCAAGGCGATGCAATGCAAGACAAGGCGGATTGGGACTAATTGGACTGTGATGAGTTGGTATGTTTTGTGTGTTGTTAGGTGTTGTGTTTCGTGTTGCTATGTGCTGTCCTGTGATGCTATGTGTTGTTGTGTGCTACCATGTGTCGTGTAATGTGTAATTATTGTGTTCTGCAACTTGTTGGCATGTCTGTGGGTGTGTGTGTGTGTGTGTGCGTGATGGTTCGCGCTTCTGCCCTGCTGTGTTGTGTTGCGCTGCGCTGTGCTGTGTGTTGGTTGCGTTGTTGTTGCGTGTTTGCCTGTTGTGAAGTGTGTAGCGTATTGTGTGGGTGGCATGTGTGTATTCTGTGCTGCGCTTTGTGTGTGTGTGTGTGGTGGTTGTAGTTGTGCTGGCAGTTGTGTCGACAGTAATGTGCAACGTAATCTGGCGTGTTGCAATGCATTGTTCGTGTATTCTAATGCAACGCAATGGAATGTGATGCTGTGGCTTGTACTTTAATATGGTGCTGTCACACAGTGTCATGCAATGTTATCCAATGCAAGCTGATGCAAAGAGTATGCATGAATGTAGGTATATCATACCTTACCTTGCTCACGTCACTGCGTACATGCCAACGCAAATGCATGCGTGAGCGTGCATACGTACGTGCCCTTGTCTGCGCAACACGCCTTGCACAGCTAGATACATCCCCATTTGTCAGCTTGATGAGGTGCAAGACAACACTTGGTTTGTCACACTGCTTCAGTGCTTCAGTGCTTCAGTGCTTCAGTGCTTCAGTGCTTCAGTGCTTCAGTGCTTCAGTGTTCGGATCGTTTCAAGTGGCCGCGGCAAAGACTTCAAAACAAACCTTTGTGTCGAGAAGTGAGCCTCTCCGTCCAACTTGTGATACCCAAGGCCGTGAAGGCAGCACCTTCCCTGAACTGTCCTCTGCACGAGGTTGAGGACTGGTACTGAAACGGACTTCAGCTAGCAAGTGATGGTACCGAACCACCGCGTCTGCCAACAGGCCCCAGTGGGAAAGCAAAACCATGATTTCAGTTGACCGAGCACTTCGAGCGACAGAAAGAAGGCCTAATGCGCAGAGAATGTATGATGGTGATGATGGTGATGATGGAGATGATGATGATGATGATGATGATGATGATGATGATGATGATGATGATGATGATGATGATGGTGGTGGTGGTGCTGATGATGATGATGATGATGGTGATGATGGAGATGATGATGATGATGATGATGATGATGATGATGATGATGATGATGGTGGTGCTGATGATGATGATGATGATGATGATGATGGTGGTGGTGGTGATGATGGTGAGGAATATGACTATGACGATGATGATCTGATAGGGATAATGACAATGATGAAGATGAGAAATACAGTACATGACAGACCAGTCAATCTTCAACAATAAACCTCCCCCCATAGGGGGCTTGAAGATTCGCAACCACCAGCCCCTAACACCTGGCCATGGGTCGAAATCCCATACCCCCAGTGAACATCCCAATCCAACCATTAAAATAGATTCCAAAATGGGTGGTGAGTTCACCTACCAACCAAAATGGGATCAAACCAAAACGGTTTTGACCACCACAGCCACCTGACTCTCCTTGTAGGGGGCTTGAAAATTCCCAAAGACCAGCCCCCTAGCACCTGACTATCCTTCTTGGGGCATGGCGAGGCCAACTCGCGCCGGCCTGCGGCAAATAGTTGAAGAGTGGCGCCACGGGAGAGGTCTCCGTGAGCTCCTTCCCCCACAAGGCGCCGGAGGAGTACGTGCGCAGCACCTCGGGGTGGCCAAAAAGTCTCCGAACTTCCAGGTGAAAACAAGGGACACGCCGGTTTTTTGAGAGATGATTTTAGCGGGGGGATCCTTCTGTAAAAAAAACAAAAACATAAGATCAGGTGATATCCCCAACAGCATGCGGTGCTACTGTTAGTGCTCGCACCACCCCGCAGCCCTCGCAGAACCTCGTGGAACCCTGGTGGAACCCTGCTGGAACCGTCGTGGAACCTTACCTCAGGGCCGCCCCGGACCACCCAGGAGCCTATCTGGGCTGAGACCCCAAAGCTTTCAGCTGTTGCGGAAAAAGAAGAGAAAAGCTAACATGTGTTTTGGGGAAGGAGGGTTCCGGCGCCGTTTTCTCGCTTCTGTTTTTCGGTAGCCGACGTTTCTGGCATGTTGCAAATAAAATGCGAAAAAGGGAGAAGGGCACTGAGGTCTGCTGGGATCAAGAAATGGAAGCAGAATGGGTTCAGGTACCCAAATGCCACCTCCCCAATCGATGGTTCCTTTAAGAAAAAAAGTTGGCCCTCAGGAGGCCGCCTCTCAAAAAATGGGTTCCCAAAAGACTGTGGCGCCCCTTCTGCTTTCCTTGAAGAACCCCCTTCCTCGGATTTCTTGGCTTTCAGGAGCTGGCGGGTTCTACCGGCAACTTCGAGGAGACACTTTGAGCGTCTAACACAAGGAAGCTTGAGGCGACAGGTCTGTGATGCCTCGGGCGTCCTAGGGTGCAATTGCGCTGTAGTGCACTTGCCGAATTCTTCATCTTGCCTCAAAACGCCTGGGCATTTCACGAACAAAAATAATGGCACCTCATCCATTCAACCAAAATCTTCCCTCGCCCACCCCCCGCCCCATTTCTTCACCCCCACTCCCCCCTTTCCTGCTTCTCCTTCTGGCAAACGTGGAACCCACATCCCCTACCCAACCCCACCCCCCCTACCCAACCCGCACCTGGGCGCCCCAGGTCTTGGAGGCCATGCGTTGCAAAAGCGCATCCTCGGGGCTCGTCCGCTGGGCTGAGCGGTGCCGGTCCGCAAAAAGGTTCCCGCGGGTGTTTGAATGGAAAACACGGAAACCAACCAGATGGGTGTGAATTTTAATTAGGGCCCCGACATTCCAACAGTTCCACTTTGAAGGGCTTCACCATTAAATTTCATGGCCATATTGGGTACGGTATGTTTCAAAACCAAACCATTCATCGGACCGCATAGTTCGTCCTTTTACCAGGCCAAGCCTGTTTGGGGTTACCCTTTTTGGACCACCACGCCCATTCTAGGTCCTCCAGTAGAGAGGTTAGAATAAGGGTACCCTTTCTTCTGCAGTCTATTTTAGTAGGGGAACCCTCCCAACCAAAAGAGAAACGGTAAAAAGGGCACCTAGACCTAGATAAGCACCTCGACTCGACTCGTCTTTTCGCCCGCAAAAACGACGCAAAACGCTCGCGTTAGAATAAGGGCACCTAGGTGGGGGACCTAGAATTTATTGTGCGAGTTTTGCGCCGCTGGTTGGCTGCACTTCCCTCCACGCGCCGCCTACGCGCCGCTGCACGGCTGGGCACCCAGGCCATGACGCGCTGCGTGAGCCGCGCAAGGACGCCCAGTTGGCTTCCTCGGCACTGCGCGGTGCAACGTTTCGGAGAATGGCCGGGGCGCGGCCTTTGGGTTTCTGGCCGCCGAAACCTTGCGCAAGCAGCGCGAGGCGCAAGGCGCAGAGGGCGCGCAGGAGACGCGGGCGCGCGGCCGCGCGCGAGGCGCACGCGCAGGCACGCGCGCGCGGCGCGCGCGCGCGCGCTGCCTGGGTACGAACATGAACGCGCGCGCAACGCGCGCGGCGCAACGCGCGCGCAGGGCTGCGCAGGAAGAATGAACGCAACGGGCACGCACGCACGCGCGCAGATGCGCTGAGCGCGCGCAGGCTGCGCGCAGAGAACTGCGCGCGAGAACGCAGAAGGGCGCGCCGCGCGGGACGCTGAACGCGCGATGCGCGCGCGCGAGGCGCGCAGGGGCGGAACGCGCGCGAACGCGCGCGCAAGTGGCGAGCGCGGCCGACGCGCGATGAAGGCGCGCAGGGCACGCGCGAAGGCGCGCCTGGCGCGCGAACGCGCGCAGAAGCGCGCGCGCAGAACGCGCGCAGGGCGCGAAACGCGCGGGACGCGCGCGCGCGCAGGGACGCGCGCCGAACTGCGCGCACGCGCGCGGGGCTGCGTGGCGCGCAGGGCGCGCGCGCTGCGCGCGCAGGCGCGCGCGCGCGGCGCAGCACTGCAGCGCGCGCAGGCGCAAGAGCGCGCGCAGGTGCGCGCATGAACGCGCGAGACGCGCGCGCGCGAGGCGCGCCAACGGCAGCGCGCGCGCGCGAAGACGCGCGCCGGCACGCGCCTCCGCGCGGGCAACAGGCATGCAGCGCGAGGCGCGCGCCCGTCTGCGCGAACGGCGCAACACGCGCAGAGGCGCGCGATTGCGCGCGGCTACGCGCGCGCGGGAGCGCGACGCGCGCGCGCGAGGCGCGCAGCGCGCGCGCGCGCGCAGAACGCGCGGGGAACGCGCGCGCAGCGCCGCGTGGCGCCTGCGCGGCACCGCGAGACACGCGTAAATCGGAGGCGCGCGCGGGACAGGGAGCACGCGCGCGCGACACGCGCGCGCACACACACACACACACACACACACACACACACACACACACACACACACACACCCGCGCGCGAACACGCAAACACGCAAACACGCAAACACACAAACACACAAAAAATAAAAATAAGGGAAAAAAAGGAAAACACGCACACAAAGCACACAACACAACACAACACAACACAACACAACACACAAACGGACTCCTTGAAGAACCTCCCCCTCGCAATGAAACTGGAGGCAGACCCCAAAATCTCTGAGCCCAGCACTGTCGGCGTCCTCCTGGCTGACCTCCGTCTCCGCGACTTCCGTGCGGGTCGCCAGGGAAGATTGGGACTTGCTCGTGACGAGCGACGCACCTGGCGTTTTTGCACAAGCGAAGGAAGGAGTGATGACATGGCCATGGATCAAAATCCCGTACCACAATCCCGTGAACATCCCAATCCCCACCAAAATAGGTTCTAAAATGGGTGGCGCACCTACCCCAAAATGGTGCCATTGGTTTTGACCCGCGGCCACATGCGCTCGGATGAGCGCGCCTGAGTTTTTCCGGACCTCCTTGACCTCCTTCACCTCCTTGAGCTCCTTGATCTCTGGCTTCTCAGTGACCTCTGGCATGCACCTGCGCGCAGAGCTCCACGAAAAAAAGGAAAAAGGAGACACCTGGCACGCATGACTGGTGCCTAGGTCCTCCAGCTTTGCGAGCTTGGAATAAGGGTACCCCGATTTTTTTCTCTGTAGTCTATCTTAGTAGGGGGGCTTCCCCTCCCAACCAAGAAAGAAACGGCAAGAGTTGGGCCCAATCGCTGGGGCCTCTGCTTCGCAGAGCCTGTCTCCCTGCAGCCGGGCGTGCAGTAGGTGGAATCGTCACGCATGTAGACCTGCACACCGAAAGCCTCCCCCCCCCCCCGTTTTGCAACTAGATTCTGCCACAGGTCCGTGAACAGAACTTGACCTGAAGTTCTGAAGAGCTCCTATCAAGCCATATGGCACTGTTTGAAGGGCTGGTTTCCTTTTGGCTTTCCTGCCGCATCATCAAGGGCCACAATCGGCAGATATCCCACATTGATGCTCTCGGCTACATGCAGGACCAAGACGAGCAAGGACACATTTCGGCAGGTAGACTTTCCGGAGAGTGCCAAGAGGCAAAATTGCTGGTGGAGGTTCCGTTGAAACCGCAAACTTGAAGACATCTCGCTAGAGGCCGCCAAAAGTGGGGCTCAGCTTGAACCGTGTGCTTACAGACCTCCTGGTTTGGCCCCCTTAGAAGCAAATTTGGATACCAGCTCCGCAACAGCTCCCTTCCAAGCCAGCCAGTTGAACTCTGGTGCAGAGCAAGAAGTCTGAAAGCCCGAAGCAGACTTCAGCCATAAAGAGATTTTCGGCGAGCCTCGAATGCAACCGTTTGCACAAACCCGCGACAAGGAGGACAGCATTGTGAACAAACGGCTCTGTGATGTTCGATCTGGTACGCATTGTTCCCCAGTCCAAGAAGGTGCCGTTGCGACCCGGTCGCACCGGAGCGTGCTCCGGAATCGGCTTCTGGCAGCAGCCGCACTGGAAGACTGGCTTGCCCGCCTGGCCCCTGCCGTTGCCAGAAGGCTTCGCTCGGAGAGGGAGGGGAGAGGGGGGCGATCCCTAATCCTAACTTAGAACCTGTAGTGGGACACCTTAGTGGGACACCTTGGTGGGGCACCTTAGTAGGACACTGGCATAAGGATTGAGCTTCAACCACCCGGGCTTTGTCTCGCAGATGACCGTCCCAACCCTTCAAGCAAACAAATAGAAATGACAACATCAGAGCCATCACCTAAGCTATACTCCGACGCACCAATGTCAGCAATGGCTGATGCCGACCAAACTCCTCACCTACAAATGAACAAAGCCAGGCTTGTGCAAACTAGTGGCTAGAGAGAGCACCCTTGTGCTCTAATGTCCCAGGGTCGGCCGCTCTTAAAGCTTGTGCTAACTGCTTATTAGTTGTGACACCATATGAATCAACCCCTGTATCTGATTTGGGGGGGGTGTTCCCCTGCAAAAGTGATGAATCCCCACTGAACCCAGTTGGACACCCCCCTATTAATAAACTGGGGTTGACTAATATGGGGTCATTACTAGCATACCGTATCATGTTTTGTTGCCTCTCTTTTTTTCGAAACCATGACACCGGGATCCCCGGCTGCACCATGTCGAAACGCTCGCAGCCTGACAAAATGCGCTCGACATGCACGCAAAGGATCCAAATAAAGATGGTCGTTGACCTACCTGCACATGGGTATTTGCATTTTAGACCAAAAGCGCGTCTAAAATCAGCTTTCATGTACTTGACATTCCTAAGCAGAGAGCCACAAGCCAAAATAATATGAAGACGTTCGGAATGACTGACTCAACTTCCAGACTGCCATTTTCACAGCGCCTGTCAGCACTGCCATTTCCTTAGTCGCACAAACGCTACAGAAACCAGCATCATTATAAAATATCAGGCTACATCGTGAGCCAAGCAAAAAACCGTGAGTTGAGGATTGCCCTTCAGCGCCTGTCGTTCATGTCACCCAATTCACGCATGCTACCTGGAGATGGCTCAGCCCACCCCGATTCATCTTGCCAATGCTACATTGGTTGCATCTGTCACCCCGCAGGTGAGCTACGAAATACGACAAAGGCTCGCACGTCCCAGAAGTCCACAGCAGGCCGTCTATGATAAAGAAGCGGCTTGAGTGATGTGACTCTGGAACATATTGTATTGTGTTGGCCTTGAGCATGGGTCGAGCTTGCAGTTTTGTTTCACATTCATATTCATGCGTCCCTATAGCCAGTTTTTGGCAACCAACCAACCTCGAGCCAAACAGAAAACGCCAGTCCGACATGTTCAAGCCAGGATGCAAAACCGAGCAAGCCCTCCAATACGGCTTCGATTTTTCCACCCACACGCCCGGCTCAGCCGCGTCTCCGTCATCTCTCACGCTCCGCCGGCTCGAGCCGTGAGCCGACTAGACCGGTGCCGCACGTGCCGCGCGCACGCCGCGCGCGCGCGCACGCGGGCGCGGGCGCGTGCACGCGCGGGCTTGCTGGGGCTGGGACTTGCTGACAGTGCACTGCCAGCTTGGGACGAGTCCGAGCCACGGGCTTGACTCCTGGGTGTGGATCAGCCTCCCAAGAGAAGAGGCACAAAGGAAAAGCAGGCTCTGGGCCACTGTCAAGAGCATCTTGCTTTTTTCTCTCAGCAAGTCTGCTTGCGCTCCGTAGCAAGCATTGATAGCAGCTCCACATACGACCTCGTTGGGAAAGACATGCAGCCGAGACATCTCCGTCCTCGGCAAACAAGCTCCAAAAGGAAAGGATACAACACATCTGCCATTTGCCGATACAGCTCTCCACAACCCTCAACATCCCCTCCCACCCCCCACATCCCGTCCCCCTTTTCCCCCCCACATCTCACTCCCCCCCCCCACCCCCCCACCCCGCACCTCCCCCCCCGCCCGAAGCCGTCCGAGGCGCAGCAGAGTGACGTGGCGCTCCCAGGCCATGGTCGCGGCCATCAGTGCGCCGAAGGCCAAGAGGTCCAGTCGCAGCGCGACGGCTCTGAAGCCCGCGAGGAGCGCCACAGCCGCCCTCCACCTGGCGGTTTGGCGTGCGCGTTGCGAGGGACTCCGAGAGGAGCGACGTGGAGTGGAGTGGTGTGGAGTGGAGTGGTTTGTTTTTTTGGGGGGAAACCCATGTTGGAACAAAAGACCGAAAAATCAGATCCTGGTTTGGTGTGGTTTGGTGGTGTGCGGGTGAGTCTCTAAAGAGGCCCTGATTTTCTGTAAGATGTCGTTTGCATTGGTGGTTTGGGTCAAATCCCTACCAATCCAAACCCCCATTTCATGGCCCCCCAGCCACCTCCGACAAAAGTCAGTTTTTGCCCAGCGAAGCTGTCAAGAGACCCAAGCGAAAACGGAACCCTCTTAAATAGTGGCCAGTGCGTAGCCCATGCGACCGAACGCTAGCAGTTGAGCGGAAATCGTCTTAGAGAAGCGGAGTCCATTGCTCACGCAGTAATCAATAGAATCGCCCCGTGGAACCGCTGGAGCCAACAAGAACCAGCTTGCTTCGTATACAGCGTAAGGGCCCCTTTAGACCCTTCTTTGTTCTATGTTTGTGGGTTTCTGGATACATTGTTCTTTGTCAATTTGCTTGCACGGCCCTGCTTGCAACTGCTTGCATAGGGTGCTTCCACAACACTATTTTCTACACCCGTATGAGTGCGGGGTTTTCAGATGTTAAGCAATGGCCCGTGCTTGTGTTGACCATGACAGCGACAGACACGACCACAGCGACGTGACAGAGTTCGCCCAGACACAGCCCCACACCGTCGGCTTCCGGTGGCCCGACCGGTGTGAAACAGCAGTAGTCTCAGGCTCTAGTGGTACCCAGCCAGTGACAAACATACTGTGGATAGACAACATCCTGCACCACCTAAGAAAATATGGGACACCATAACGTTTGTTGGCATTTACAGGGAAGTAATACCTATATAGGTAGTGCAGGATTTTGTCCATCCACTGTAGTTTTGCCCGTGGCGTGACCCATCAGACCAAGATGTGAGGCTAGCCTGATTCAGACAGACCAAGCAAACTTGGCTAGGTTGCCAGACTCTAGGCTGATGTCATCGGGGTACGCAAGTTCTTCGGAGGACCTGCAGGGATCTCTCAGGCTTCGGCTGTCTTGGGCCGCGGAGCTAGCTAGTGGGTTCTGAACCCTTGATGATCCCTCTGGCGCATGACTGTTCTTAGGGAGTCTCAAATCAATTTTGAAGGTGCGAAGAGAAGTACTGAACCCGAGATCAAGCAAATTGCTTGTCTGTCAAGGACAGAACATGCCCTCGGTTGGCGATGGTCAGGTCAAAACGTTTTTTGAGCCCAAATAAATCATGGCCAAAGAGTCATCAAGACCTCCCTCAACGCCCTCCCTTCAAATAGCTATGTGCCAAGGCCTTCTGCCCCACGGCAGGGTTTAGGAGTTGTCGTAACCCCCACCTTGCTTGAAACAAATACAACCCCAACGTTCACGTCGGATGAATCCGCAAAACCGCACCAATCACAAAACGTTCATATCTGTTATCTGACATCCATTTTCATGGGCCTCTGACTGGTTGGGTCCGATGACCATCCCCCAACTCAGTTTGTCTCAAGAGTGGAAAGAACCTGTTTCATGGTCAACGTCCTCTGGGTTTCCCTTTAAACCAAAACAAGCCGAACCCGGCAAAAAAAAGCAGCTTCCCTTGAAACCAACCCCAAAGAAGCCGAACCCCAAAAAAAACAAGGAAAAAATGGGGAAAAAAGGACGAACAAAAAGAAAGAACCCATTTCCCTTTAAACCAACCCCAAAACACAAACGAGGCGAACCCTGCAAAAGGAAAGAACCCACGCTGATCCGCCCACGCCGCCTCCCGGTGCAGGCGCTGATGGC